TGATGATGTTAATAATATATGTTTCTATGGGGTGGGGGAAGGGTAGGGGTATAGGAATAACCAGTCTTTTCAGAGAGAAGTTTTACAACCACACTGTAACTACTCTAACTGGAGCATAATTGTATACAACACTATAACTAAGACTACTAATAAAGACCTTTCAGAGACAGCATTGCATGAGGGTTAATATAATAGACATTGTAGTCAGCTAGCCTGGGTTTGAATTCCCTTGAGCTGTTTACTGGCTTTGTGACTTTGAGCAAGTTCCTCGATTTTTTTTTCCCCTTAGTGGAGGCACTGGGGATTGAACCCAGGAACTTGTGTATGCCAAGTATATGCTCTACTACTGAGCTATACCCCCAACCCCCAAGCTCTTTAATTCTTAATGACTCAGATGCTCATCTGTGAAATGGGAATAATAGTTGAGCCAATATTAAGCATTACTGTGTGGATTGAAATGAGCTTATAGATTTAAAATCCCTGGAACAGGGACTGGTGCACTCAACAAAATTTGTTTATCATCATCATCATCATAATCATCACTATTAGCACTGTGTACTGGGTTCTATGCCATTTAAACCTCACAGAGACCTTGTAATGTGTGGATCACTTCCCTCTGGTTTTACAAGATTGTCATCATTCCTAATAGAGGTATCAATTATAATGACATTAACATCAATGCAAATAATCACAATGTCAGCATGGCAGCCAGCCTCCAAGATTTCCCTTAATGAATCTTGCCTCCTAGTATTCAAACTTCTGTGTAGTCTTTTCTTATAATGAATAGGGTTGACCAGTGTAACCAATCCAACCACCATATTTGAATACACTCAAGAAGCCTTAAGGGGCCCACATGGTAAGGTATTTAAAAGTCTCCTGCCAATAGTCATATAAACTAACTTGGAATCAGAGCCCACAAGCCCCAGTCAGCCTTCAGAGGACTGCATAGCTCTGGCCAGCATCTTGACTACAACCTCGTGAGAGTTCTTGAGCCAGAACCACCCAGCTAAGCTGTTCCCAGATTTCTGGCCCTCTGAAACTGTAAGAAAATAACTGTTTCCTGTTGTTTTAAGCCATTAAGTTTTGGGTAATTTGTTACATAGCAATAGATAGCTAATGTACTCAGCAATGTATTATAGATATGCTGTTTTCCAGAGTGCAGGGGAACCCACCCTGTGTTCTCACAATTGGCATTAATGATAATTATAACTTTAATATAATTCAAATGATTATATCAATGTGGTGCTTACATTTTCCTGTTTCATAGATGTTTACAGAGAACACAAGCAAAGCCCATTATTATAATAAATATTAAAATAGCACAATAATAATATCAATAAAAGAGTAATCTAAATTGTGCTGATTTCACAGAGGTGAAAAAAAAAAACCAAAAAACTGCCCCTAGAAGCGAGGCTATTGTTGTGTTAATATAATGCAAACAACAACCAGAAGGTGGCAGAAGCAGAAGAGACACAGGATTTCTTAGCATCAGAGTGGAAGTTATTCATGTTGTCTTCGTAATTAGAGGCGTACGACAAATAATGGCAAGGATTATGTACTAGTTATAAATTATAATTGTGTTACTTATACTTCAAATCAATAAGAATAGATTAATTGTGGAATTAAGTAAAACAGTAAGTGGTATGGCATGGCGTATGGTATGGAAAGTGGGGTGAGGTGAAGTGGGGTACGCTAGATAAGTCTCTCCAGGCAAAGGCCCAAAGGGGAACAAGTTTCCTTGATGTTAAGAATAGCCAGAACCGGGCTTGTCTGACAAATAATAAAAATGTTGACCGGCTACAACTGCTGGTTCTCCAGACCCTACACCGCCTTTTATTTCAGTTATAACTTTTCACTACAAACATTAAATGTAGACACGTAAAAATACAAATAACTGAAATTTTATGTAAAAAGCTGGGATACAAAATATAAAAGATACATAATCTAATATATAATCATATAGTATATATATCATATAAAATTGAAATCTTATTTTATTGTAATAAGGAAAATACAATAATGATACTATAATGTACTATATATTATAAATACACAATATTACTATAGTATATAATGATATGCAATATAAAATTATAACTAATGTACAAACCTAATTATGTATAGATATTTATAACCTAACATCTAATAAATAATCTTTTAGCAAACATAATTTATCACATAGTAAAACATAATACTTTTGAGATTCATCCATGTTGTAGCTTGTGCCAATGAATATTTCCTTTTGGCGGGGGGAGTAATTAGGTTTATTTATTTATTTTTAGAGGAGTTACTGGGGACTGAACCCAGGACCTGGCGCATGCTAAGCATGCACACTACCACTTGGGCTATATCCTTCCCCCAGAATATTTCCTTTTTATGGTGTCATAAATCAGCATATTTATGGCTGAGTAGTATTCCATTGTAGAGATGTACTACAATTTGTTTAATTATTCACCCACTGATGGACATATGGATTGTTTCCAATCTTTTTGCGATCATGAGTGAAGGTTCTGTGAACACTTGAGTATATACATGATTTCTCATTTCTCTACGGTAAATACCTAAGTGTGGGATTGCTGTGTTGTAGGCAAGGATATAATTAACTTTATAAGAACTTGTGAAACTTTCATCTGGAGTGGATATACTATGTTACCTTCCCACCAGCAATGCATGGAACTGTGCATTGCTCTGCATCCTTGCCAGGTTTTGGTACTACGTGATTGACTGCTGTTCTAATAGGTGTGTGGTGGTATGTCATTATGGTTTTAATTTGCATTTTCATGATGATTAATGATGTTGAGTGTCTTTTCATCAACTTATTTTCCATTTGTATCTCATACAGTCATATGGATAAATCTCAAATACATCACATTAAATGAAAGAAGTCAGACTCAGAAAGAGATACATACTTACATATATATGGATACATACATTTATATGACACATGAAAACAGCAAAATTATAGACACAGGAAACAGATCAGTGATTTCGAGGGGTTGAGAGTGGGTACAGAGAATGGCTAAAAAGGAATAGGAGGGAATTTAGGGGAGTGAAGGAACTGTTCTCTTGATTGTGGTGTTGATTACATGATTGTATGCAGTTGTCAAAACTCTCGGAACTGTACACTCTAAGAGTGACTATTACTGTATGTAAATTATACCTCAATAAATCTGACTTAAAATATCTCAGTACTATGATATTATGTTATAATAAATATAAAAGAGAAATAATGGGAAGCAATTTACCGTAAGATAACACGTTTCCCTCTGTGGGGTTTGGGCAAAGTCATACAGAGAGGGTCAGATGCTCACGTCCACCTATAACTGGTAATCTTATTAACAACAGGACACTGTCATCGGTCTCCACTAGTCCACTCCCCTCAAGTGACTCATAGTAAATCACTTCATCCTCCTTAATTCTATTTTACAGGTGAAGCAACTGAGGCTCAAGAGAGGTTGCTGGGCATCAGCGTTGACATCAGGATTTTAATCCATGTCAACAGCTCTCACTATTCTGCTTGCATCACTCCTCGTGGAGTAAACGGGAAGCTGTTTGTGATCTCCTGGGACCCCAGATCCTGCCCAGCCTACTCCAGACCAACAATTCTCTGGAGTGTGTCTCATCCCTTCTCCATCCAAGGTTCCTGACCATGCAACGGTGGGGACTTGGAGAAGCAATGCTGGAGGACTTGCAGTAGCCACACTGAGTGGCCTCATGAAGCAACGTGTGCCAAGGGTAATCGGCAGACAGTGTTAGTGACAGCCAATAGGGAAATAGCAGATATTACCAGGATTTAATGTAAGAGCCACAGATACTGTATTAGTACTGGATTAGTGGGTAATGGGCATCAAAAGGCTTTGTGCTGGTTAATGGGGGTCTTACACAGATGGCTAATGTGGAGTTTATGGTGCCTTATCAGTCATTACCCTTACCTGGGGAGAGGGAAGCAGGTTAACGGCACACACCAGTGTTCAGAGAGAGGACTGGGGGCACCACCACATACTGTGTTGGGGATGGTTACAAACACAGCTAGGTGGGGTCATGGAAGATAACTGGAAACGATCATTGTGATGGACAGCTAATGGAGGGAGATGCAAGTCATCCTGCTAGAGGTTTAATGGAAGTATCAGGAGATATTATTAAAAGCTGGATTAGGTGGGGTATATATACCATGGTTCCCTACTCCGAGGATTGTAATAAGTGGTCGTTAGTCACTAGTTAGGTGGAAGTGGGAATAAATGGGGAGTAGGGAGGCGACAAGACTGTTTACAAGTTGGGTAAAGTAACATACACTATGCTGGAGGTAACTGGAGAAGCCGTATAATGAGAAGGTATCTAGACACTACTTCTTGGAATTAATAAGGAATGATAAACATAGTGATGGAGTCAGGTAAAAGGGGGATAATGGAGGGTGTCCAGACCTTGTGCTGGAGTGGGTTAAGAAGGGGTAATGGAACAATCTCCAGACTCTCCTGAGGGGTCTGCTAACACTGTCCTAAGCTGGGGGACAGTGGTGGGTCACAAGACATTAACTGAAGCTGCAGTGCCAAATGAGGGAAAAGTGGGTAGTGGGTCACCATAGTGTTCTAAGATAGGGAAGGGCATACGGTGGTTCACCAGATACTGTGAAGGGGTGAGATAAAGGGGAGCTGACGATGGATTAGACGTGGAGCTAAGGTGTGGTAACGGGATATGTCATTACACACTGCCCAATTTGGGTGAGCGGATTACAGGAGAATCCTTAGTCCTGCCCCCTCAACCAGGTTGTCACCATCCTCGATTGGGATTGCTGTGTTGTAGGCAAGGATATAATTAACTTTGTAAGAACTTGTGCCAATGACTGACCTGGAGGAACCACTTTGCTGGTGCCAGTTTGTCCACCCAGCAGCTGAACATTCAATCAGATCCTCTCACACATCTGTGAGGCCACTGCTGCCCAACTCTTGGTTGTGCACCAAACTTCCAAGGAAGGCAAACCTCTCTCTACTCTTGACCTTTCCATATTATTGGCTTTGGGTGTACCTGTCAGAGCATGATAAGCAGGTCTGTAGGTCAGGTCATGGGGTGGGCAAGACCCTGTCAAGGTGCAAGTAGGGTAGGGCAGGACTTGTGTGCTGGGGCAGAGTGAGGGGGCTCTCTTGTGGTCACTTTGAAGCTGACTGTGGTATTTCGGAATCACTGAAGGGAATCCTGGAACATCAAACATGTATGTGGGATTTCCTGTGCCACAGTTCTCCTTTCTTTAAATGAGTTGGCACCAGGCCAGAAGGTTTACAATTATGTTACAACTTTCAGGCCAGGAAGGAGGCACAGGCCAGGTAAAGACTGGGGGTGGAAAAACCTGGTGTGTTTTAGGCAATTTGGTTTTCCTCTTGGAGCATTTTATGCTGCAATGTAGAAAGGATCAAAGGGAAGTCAAGGGACGAGTAGGGTCAACACTCCACAACGTGCATCATGGAATGACTGCTGTATGTCAGGCATAGGTCTAGGTCCACAGTGGGGACAAAAGAGGGAAAAACATTCTAGAGTGCAAATCACAGACAAATAAGTTAAATATACAGGGTGTCATGGTAGTAAGTGCTATGGAGAAGGATAAAGGAGGAAGAGGAAGGGGCTGGAATTTTAAGCCAGGTAGGCAGGGAAGGGCAGGGAAGGCCTCTGTGAAGAGATGCCACTGGAAGAAAAATACGAAGGAGGAAACCACAAAGATATAATGAAGAACTGTGCTCTTTGAAGAGGGCATGGCAATTGCAAAGGCCCCAAGGCAGGACCTAATCTGATGTGATTGAGGCACATGGGGGAGAAGGTCCTTGAGTGCATGGCATGAAGTTGGAGAGAAAACAGTGAAGGCATGTTGGAATTTGTTTTCGATGAGTTTTGCTTTCAATTTGTTACTATCATCATGAAGGTCAGGTCATTAAGGAAGAACCACGACAGTAAAAGGGAGACTGACGTGAGGAGTTGATGGAGGTGACCTGAACAGTCTCTCTTTAGAAGCTTTCCTGAAGGTAGTGGGAGTTCAGTAAGACCCTAAGCTGGGGGCTAAATGAGGCTCAGCGAGTCTGGGAGATAAGGGTAGTGAGCAGATGTGGTGTTTAGCACTAACGGGCAGTCACAATGCAGTTACAGGGCTCAGAAGACAATGTGCTGTATGAGAGCTGAAGACACTACACTCTACTGGTGGCTTAGAAGGTGGGTGCCACTCATGGTGCTAGAGGATAGCGGAGGAGGCAACATACACTCTTAGGTTTATGTCTGTATACATAAATAATTTTTTATTGTGGCATCTCTTTCTTGATAAAAATATTCCGTAGGGGATTGGATACGTAAAACCATGTTAGATTCAACAGAAGAATAACACCCAAAATTCAGTTAGACATTGTGTTCTGCAACAAACACCTCACAGAACTGAGGGTTTATCACTCTCATATATATTGTGTCATTCTACCATTCAATTGTTGGCACTTTACCCACTCCAGAGTAAACAGGATTATCATCAACATGACTTCACGTAATGCTTCGTATGCAGAATTTGGTAACAGTGTTCCATTATATTTTTCATGAGAAGGCTTCTTCTAATGTACCAAATTGACCAAGTTCCTTCTCAATATGAAAGCCCAAGGTTTGCTGAGACTAGTGACAATGTGGGAAGGGGCTCCTCTCACTCAGGGCCCTTCTAGAGGTCCTCTTCTGTAGTGTGACATTCTGATGCAGTATTTCTGCTTACGATAATATGCATGTTTTCTGTTGCGTGAATTCAGTGATGTAAAGCCAGATCTGATCTCACTGAGGCTTTCTCATTCTGTTCCTCTCAAGTGTGACTACTCCGATGCACATTGAGCACTGATTTCTGAACAAAGCCTTTCCCACAGACTACACACTTATAGGGTTTGTCTCCAGTGTGCGTTGTCTGGTGTTTATTCAAATTCGACCTGTCAGTGAAGGCCTTCCCACACTCAGCACACACATAAGGCTTCTCCCCTGTGTGAATTCGCTGATGCACTTGGAGTTGTGATTTCTTAGTGAAAGATTTGCCACAGTCACTGCATTCATAAGGTTTCTCTCCAGTATGAATTCTATGATGTATAATCAGCTCTGACTTTTGTCTGAAGGTCTTCCCACATTCAGAGCAGATGTAGGGCTTTTCTCCAGTATGAGTTTTCTGGTGTTTACTGAGATTTGACCTGCCACTAAAGGCTTTCCCACACACAGCACACACATACGGTTTTTCTCCTGTGTGAATTGGTTGATGCACCAGGAGCTGAGATTTAGAGGTGAAGGATTTCCCACAATCACTGCATTCATAAGGTTTCTCTCCAGTGTGGATCCTCTGGTGAGTAATGAAGTTTGACTTCCGGATGAAGGCTCTTCCACACTCAGTGCACACGTAGGGTTTCTCTCCTGTATGAATTTTCTGATGCACAATAAGTATTGATTTCTGGTTGAAGGCTTTTCCACATTCATGACATTCATACTGTCTCTCTCCAGTGTGAATTTTCTGGTGTATATTGAGGTGTGATTTCTGGGTGAAGGCTTTTCCACAGGTACTACATTCATAAGGTTTCTCCCCAGTATGAATTCTCTGATGTGTAATCAGGTCTGACCTCTGTGTGAAGGCCTTGCCACATTTAGAACATACATAGGACTTCTCTCCTGTATGAGTTTTCTGATGTGTAATGAGATTTGACCTGTTGGTGAATGCCTTCCCACACTTAGTGCACATATAGGGTTTCTCTCCTGTGTGAATACGTTTGTGCACGTGGAGTTGTGACTTGGAAGTAAAGGATTTCCCACAGTGACCACATTTATAAGGTTTCTCTCCGGTATGAATTATTTGATGGGCGATCAAGTGTGCCTTCTGGATGAAGGCTAGCCCACATTTCATGCATACATATGACTTTTCTCCTGTATGAATTCTTTGATGCACTGTGAGTGCTGACTTCTGAGTAAAGGCTTTTCCACAATCACCGCATTCATAAGGTTTTTCTCCGGTGTGAATTCTCTGATGTATAATCAACTCTGACCTGTAGGTAAAGGCTTTACCACATTCATTACATATTGAAGATTTCTCCCTAATTTGAACTTTCTTATGTGTATTGAGGTTGGAACTACTGTTGAAAAGCTTCCCATATTCGTTGCATATAAAGGGTCTCATTCTTGTGTGAGTTCGTTGATGTACCTGAAGTTGTGACTTAGAAATGAAGGACTTCCCACAGTTACTGCACTCATATGGTTTTTCTCCAGTATGAATTCTTCGGTGTGCAATCAAGTGTGTCTTCTGGATGAAGGCCTGTCCACATATGATACATATATAGGATCTCTCACCTGTATGAATTTTCTGATGCATCTTGAGTGTGGACTTTTGTGTGAATGCTTTGCCACAATCACTGCATTCATGGTGTCTCTCTCCGGTATGAATTTTCTGATGTATACTAAGATCTGAGTTATAAGAGAAGCCTTTCCCACATTCACTGCATTCATAGAGTTTTTCTCCAGTATGAATTCTCTGATGCCTGAAAAGAGAAGATACCTGGAAAAATGCTTTCCCACAGTCACCACACTTATAGGGCTTCTCTCTAGTATGGGTCCTCTGATGTGTAATGAATTCTGGTTTCTGTAGAAAAGCCTTCCCACAGTCAATACATACATAGAGTTTCTCTCCTGTATGAACTTTCAGATGTACCTTGAGTTGTGACTTCTGGGTAAAGATGTTTCCAAATTCAGCACATTCGTAAGACTTTTCCCCAATGTGAATTTTCTGGTGTTGAGAGGATGCCTGCTTATAGCTGAGGGTTTTTCCACATTGATTATGGTCCCACAATTTCTCCCCTGCTGGAGTACAGTGACGGCCAGTAGAGGAAGAAATTTTACCATGTTCAGTAATCTTATTAATGTTCCTTGACCCACTGTTTCTATTATGACTGTGTAAATCTAAATTATGCTTCAAAGCATTTCCAAATAAGTCACACTGATGGGGTCTTCTTGGGGAAGGAATGTTTTGGCTCCCATGGATTATTTTTCGAATGTCCTTATATTCATAATCTCTCTTTATAGTCAGTGTTTTCTTGATGAAAGCAACATCTCTTAAAGATTTCTTTTCTCTTTGTTGATAGCTCTCTATCTGGTCAGCAATCTGCCAAAATTCTTCTAGAATAAAATACAACAAAATGTCACGTGTAGCATCACTTTCCCTCTCAATGTAGAAAGAAGCTTTTTCAGAAATTCTCTGCTGTGAAGTTTGAAACTCAAACTCTCCTTCTCAAAGGAGAATGAGGAGATGATTTTAGCTCAAAGAGCAGCTAGCAGACGCAAGAGGGGAGGGTCATATGGCTCATCCAGGTTGAACACAGTGAAAAGGGTGAGATGACTCATTGGCTAAGGCTTGGTGACAGTGGTGACAGGAAACATTCTGGGATACAATTCAGTTTATTTAGGAAACTTTATGAAGACAATGCACCATGCACTTAAGTGAAAAAAGTAAGGCAAAGAATAAGATATACATCAGAATAACATTTATATAAACTAATAATACATACCCCAAGTTACTTTAAATTTTAAAAGAACATATATGAATTTAAAAGTATGTTTCCATCATATAAAACAATTGCCTGTGATGGGAAGTGAGATGAGTCTGGGGAAAAGAAGGAAAAAGGAATAAATCAAAAAATAAATAGAGAATCCTTACCCATACTGATGATGATAGTCCTGAATGAAGACATGATTAAATTCAAACCCCATGCGAAGTACAGAAATAAAGCAATTACAAAAATCAGCCAGCCAGGCAGAAAGCCACTAGTCAGTGTAAATTCTCAAGCACCATAAGAAGGAAAAGTCCGAATGGTACTCCCAAAGGCTAAGCAACAGCGACCCCTAAGTCATCAGCTGGAGGAAAGGCATAGGGAACGGGGAAGTGAGAAATCTTATGTCAGTGACTATGGAGGAAACAGAAAGAGAGCATGATTGGAGGTAAAGTTCGAAAGCATCTCACAGTGAGAGAGAGAGAGAAATGAAAGAGGACTAGGAGGAGTGGAGTGTCTTACATATAGTAACTTTGAAAGAAAGCAGATCTTAAAGATACATAAAGAAGATCTCAGACAATGGGGAAGGCAGAAAGATAAAAGAATGTTAGACAAACGGAGCAGAGCCAAGGAAAATAGAAAATATTTAATGAGGCAAATCGGCATGTGATCCAGACTCCAAAAAAGCCAAGGAAGAAGATGGAAATGACAAAGGCATTTATGTAGTAAGGCTTTTAGTTATTTGAGAGGCCGATGTCAAGGGTTGTCAAGTAACACAAAAAAATTAGAACCCTCGAGAAGAGCCATCTTTACAGCATTTCAGAATGCCAGGCTTTCTCAAGATGGCTGAGATTTACTCTCCTGTCTCCCATCAGCCTGGGTCCCACTCACCTGGACAGCTCTGACGCAGGCTCTCACTCTGCATTGCCCATGGCTCCTCTGCTTGTTCCAACATGAAAACCTCTGGTTCAGGAACTTGATACCCTGTTTGTGAGACATGACAAAAAGTCTCGGTCCAGCTAATTGTGTTTCAGGGACCCATCAATAAAGTTCTGTCATTCAATGAGGCTTTGTTCGTTAGGAAAGTAATAGTATATCTCTGAGAACAGAGTACAGTTGTCCCTTGAACAACAGGGGACTGTTGAACTGCATGGGTCCACTTATCTGTGGACTCTTTTCAATAAATATATTTACTGAAAATACTGGAAAATCTTTTGGAGATTTGTGAGAATTTGAAAATACAGACAAACTGCATAGCCTAGAAATATCAAAAAAATTTAAGAAAAAGAGATGTCATGAATGCATAAAATACATGTAGATACTAGTCTATTTTATCATTTACTACCATGAAATATACACAAATCTATTATAAAAAGTTAAAATTTATCAAAACTCACCCCCCCAAAAACTTACAGACCCTACATGGCACCATTCACAGTGGAGAAATGTAAACAAATGTAAAGATGCTGTATTAAATCCTAACTACATAAAATTAACTGTAGTGAGTACTGTACTACCGTAATTTTGTAGCCACCTCCTACTCTACTGCAGTGAGCTCAAGTGCTGTGAGTATCCACTTAAAATACCCTCATCATGTGAGCAGTCCCTCTCTCTAGCAAATTGCATACAACAGTAAAAAGGGATCTCTCCCAGGTTCTCATGTACTTTTTGTTCAATGCAATATGATAAACCCAGAATAACATCACGGGACCCATACTGGTGCCACTAGTGATGCTGGAAGTGCTCCCAAGAGCAGAGAAGCCATGACATTACAAGAGAAATTTGAATTGCTTGCTCATCCCATAGATTGAGGTCTGCAGCTGCAGTTGCTGGCCATTTCAAGATAAATGAGTCCAGCATAAGGACTATCGTTAAAAAAAAAAAAAAGAAAGAAAAGGAAATTCATGAACCATCACTGCAGCTACAGCAGCAGGCATGAAAACCTTGCATTTTTTGAGAAATATTTTATCTTGTACTAAAAATGTAGTTTTTATGTGGGTGCAGGATTGCTATAAGAAAAGCAACCAGAGACTCTTAACATGATTTGAGAAAAAGTGAAGTCATTATAACTTAAAGTGAAAGGTAACCATAAGTTTATTCTCTATGTCTGTGAATCTGTTTCTTTTTGTAGGTAAGTTCATT